CCCAGGCCCAGAGTTCAAGCCCCATGACCAACAAAAAAAAAAAAAAGAGTAATGGAGAGGTGAATTTGATCAAAGTGTAGTATATGCGTGTATGGATATATCCCATTAAGCCTTTGTACAGTTAATACATGTTAATTTTATGCTAATTTTTAAAGGAGTGGAGTACTTCCAGTGAATGGATAATGTGCCCACAGTGTAGGCATAAGAGATGGTGATTATAGCAAAAGACAAGTAATAAATGTTAAGAACTCTGAAGATTATATGTGATCCCTGGCCAGCGCTCAGCAATGAAAGGCTTCAGAGGAAACAGCACAAACCGACTTGGTAACAGAGAGTGTCTAGGAACCTATATGCAACTCACAACAAACTTTTGTGTGTAAATATTTCAGAGGAAGGCTCAGAGCTTTCATTAGATTTTAAAGCAGTTCTCTACTGCCCATCTTTTATGACAAGATACCTCGAAAGGATAACAGGGTTACTTATGCTAGAGCATCCTCTGGGGAAAGGACAAAGACCCTAGAAGGCTGCATGATGTAATCTGGATGCAGGAAGGAATCCCTGAGCCTACTAGAGTGTATGAGAAGGAACTGTCACCTGAGCAGGCTGAAGACTGGCTGTCCATCATGACATGGACACTCTGTGGGAGGAGGGATGGTTTGGAAAGAAATGGAGAAAGGAAACAAGCTTAATCCCTAGAGGGAAACTCAAAACCACAAGAATGAAGAGGTCATGGTCCTGTTGGAACAGCTTGCTATATTGAAGAAATCTGGATGTGTTTGGAGAAGCCAAGCTAACCTTGGAAGGGCTCTTCGTAAGGCTTCATGTGACACCTTTCCCCCAAGCCCCACCCTAGAAATTTTGTAACACCTGGAATTATCTGAGTGTACACAGCCTCCTGAGGACCAGACTTAGGACCTGCTTCCCATGGCAGAAGACTCAAACACATTGAGCCCCTTATATTTTTGGATAGAGTTAATTCCTGAAATAATCTGGAAAATGTGGTTTCAGATTTTTTTGAAGAATCATTATAGTCTGATATTACAAAATCAAGGCTCTTTATAAAGCTATTTAGTGGGTCCTGCTATTTTCCTGTACCTCATGCTTCTATTTTAGAATACTACTTCTTCCTTCCAGGTAGAAGCTATGTTCTGTGGAGATTCTGTGAGGTGGACAACACGCAGGCTGGGTTGATAGAGGAGTTCTAGCTGCCCTGAGGGGAAGCCCCTCGTAACATCTCTGGAATTCACTGGCAGCCCATGCCTTCCATCTTTCCAGTTTCACTGCCACTATGTCATATTGCCCTCTAAAACAGCCTTTCTGAACACAAGCAGAGCCAATTCCCAGTGTTAACTACATGGAGTTTTCCTTTGTTTTCATCCTCTTTGCATCTGTGTACCATTGAGTACTTAAGAACCTAAGAGCCTGCATGCTGGGATACTACCAGGCTTCAAGTCCAGCTTCACTAGCCTATACTGGAGTGGCCTTAGCAAATTACTCAGTATCTCAGTGCCTTGGTGTCCTTATATGAAAGAGAATCAGGAATCCTATTTCACAGGGCTGTGGTGACAGCAAATCATTGCTATGTGCATAGTGAGCAATCAGTGCCTGTCTTGTAGTAAGCACTGTTGAAGTGTCTCTTCTTGCTTTTTCAGTCCCTCCTTTGACTTTCCTTTCTTCCTGTGGAGATGATGCAGCTCCCTATTCAGACCAGCCACTACCTTGGCCTGGGCTTACAGTCCAAATGCTATGTTGATCCCCTCATTAGGTTCTTGCCCAGTACTTCAGACTCAGGAACTCCAAAAATATATTAATATTTGACTTTTTTTTTGTTGGTCGTGGGGCTTGAACTCTGGGTCTGGGCGCTGTCCCTCAGCTCTTCATTTCAAGGCTAGCGCTCTATCACTTGAGCCACAGGGCCACTTCTGCCTTTTTCTGCATATCTAGTGCTGAGGAATCGAACCCAGGGCTTCATGCATGCAAGGCAAGCACTCTACCACTGAGCCACCCTCTCAGTCCCAATATTTGACTTATTTTATATAAAAATAAATTTTATTATAGAACATACAGGAAAATTAAATTCCAACAGTAGTAATCCATCCATTCAGCATTCACCACCACTAAACTTGGGCATATTTCCTTAAGTTCAGGCTGCTTCCCCCAGGTAAAATAAATAAATAGACTGGAAATAAATAAATAGACTGGAAATAAAAATAAATAGACTGGAGATATTTTGATAGGGAAGGACATAGTACTGGCCTCTGGGGGGTAGAAGCTAAGGATTCTACTGGACATTTTATAATGTATAAGACAGCCCCCTCCCCCATAGCAAGGAATTATATGACCCAACAGTACTGGGGTCAAGAAACTGTTTTTAGGGGCTGGGAGGGTAGCTCAGTGGTAGAGCACTTGCCTTGCATGCTCGAGGCCCTGGGTTCGATTCCTCAGCACCACATAAGAAAAAAGCCAGAAGTGGTGCTGTGGCTCAAGTGGTAGAGTGCTAGCCTTGAGCTGAAGAGCTGAGGGACAGCGCCCAGGCCCAGAGTTCAGGCCCCACGACTGGACCCCCCCCCCAAAAAAAAGAAAAAGAAACTGTTTTCATACAAGTTGAATTGGTTTTCTTTTTCTGTTCCATCCTGCTTCCCACCTGTGCTCTCTATTTGTCAGGGGTCCTGCCTTCTTCCCTTTCTTCTCTCCAGAATTCTATGAACAGTCAGCAAGCCCACAGAGTTCCGTCACATGTTGAGCAGCAGTCTTTTTTCTCTCCGCTAGTTGTGACACTGATAACCACTCACAAACTAATGAATAGGCTTCCCATTGCCCCTTCACTTCCAAGTCTCCTGTGAGGCCTGGCTTGTGTACTTGGGGATGTGCATAGAACTCTTCTGCCTATTGAATTCAGCCCAGACCTGGTAGAGTCTGCCTGGGACATATCTGACTCATCCTTGTAACACCATTATAAGTGCAGTCTTGCTCTGTAAATCTTTGTTGAGTGTGTGTGTGTGTGTGAGAGAGAGAGAGAGAGAGAGAGAGAGAGATTGAAAAGCCTGGACAAAGTCTCCTCTGACACAGTCTCTTTACAGATTCTTGAGGAGTGGTTTGGCCGGACCATCATCCGCTCCTGCACCAAACTGAGCTATGAGCACGCACAGAGCATGATTGAGAAACCAACTGAGAAGATCCCCCAGGAAGAGCTGCCCCTCATTTCCCCAGAACACAGTAGCGAGGAGGTGCACCAGGCTGTCCTGAACCTGCACGGAATTGCAAAGCAGCTTCGTCAGCAGCGCTTTGTGGATGGCGCACTCCGTTTGGATCAGGTCAGTGAGATTTTGGTTTTTTGACATTCCTCATGTTTTTTATTCCACAGGGAAGCCCTGTTTTACATCATTATGAAAAAATTAAATATAGTATGCAGAAGCAGGAAACAATATAATGAATTAGCTGTACTCACCATAAATCCATCCAACTTGAATAATTCTGAGCTGATGACAATCTTATTTAATGTATGCTCACACCTACTTTCCCCACCAGATTTCTTCTTCCCTATGCCTACAACATGTTTTATTTAGAAAATATGTCAAGTGTCAAATTACAAGAATAGTATATGGAGTTCAGTGTTACACTCTGGGATATAGACAGTAGGGTGATGTTGTCAGTCTCTTTGCCTCCTTCCTTGCTACACTGTCCTCTTCCATACAGGTAGATGGGTGCTAGTTGCCACCCATCCTCCATGTTGGGGCCTGGTGACATGAGTCACAGCAAAAGGATGGTGTCTGTTTGGCTCTGTGACTAAAACTCCCCCAGCTGCTCTGTGGACAGGCTGCATATATGACTGGATCCTCATTCTTCACTGTGACAAACACCTGAGAAAAACAATTTAAAGGAAGAAAGATTTATTTTGGCTCATGGGTCCAAAAGTTTAGTCCATGGCACTTGGCTCCATTGTTCCCAGACTATGATGAGTCAGAGACACCATGGTGGGGAGCACATGGCAGAACAGAGCTGGTTATCTCACGGTGGGCAGGAAGCAGAGAAACAGAAAGAGGCTGGGGACTGGGTGTCTTTCCAAGCTCTTCTCCCTGTGTCCTTTCTTCACTTTAGGCCCTATCTCCAAATAAAGCCAACAAGAGATCGATCCATTGATTACATCAGAGCCCTCAGGGTCCAATTACCAAGAAGCCCATGAGCTGCAACTAAGATTTTAACACATCAGCCTATGGGGAATACTTCAGATCCAAACTGTAGTACTCACTGCAGCTTGTTCTTGGAGGCAGAAACAGGAGACATGGAAATTCAGAAGGCAGTTGTCTAATATCTTTTCCTAAGGCTCAACAAAAAGCTATCTTTTTATTCCTTGTATTCTACATAGGATTATCTGTTTACAAATTCCAGATTAAGTTGTGAAGAAGCAGAGAGCTGAGGTACTTGTAAAACATTGGCTGTTAAAGCAAACGGGCCTGAACTGACACTGATTACTCTCCAGTATCACAGCGATGCTGTCAGTACATTAGGACTTAGGCAGCTGTCGCTTCTAAACCTAGTGAATTTCCAGGTCCCAGAGTTGATAACTGTTCATCACGGCTTGTCAGTACATCACAAAGTATAGTCTGTGTTTTGTATCATGTTTTTGTTTTTGTTTTTTTGGCTCCGGTTGTGAGGCCTCAACTCTGGGCCTGGGCCCTGTCCCTCAGCTCTTCAGCTCAAGGCTAGCGCTCTACCACTTGAGCCACAGCACCACTTCCGGCTTTTTTCTTTTTGCTTATGTGGTGCTGAGGAATTGAACCCAGGGCCTCAGGCATGCAAGGCAAGCACTCTACCACTGAGCCACCTTCCCAGCCCTTGTTTTTTGTTTTTATTTGCATTTCTAACCTTGGTCATTCAGTCTGTGGGAAGTCTTTGTATGTCTGCCTGTGGGCAGTGGCAAAGCCACTGGGACTGGCTGAAGGAGCTGTTCTCAGACTATTGGCATAACTTGCCTTACAGAGAACTCTTTCTCTTAGCTAGAAGGGTTAGAAAGCCATGTTTTAAAGCTTTCCAATGGAAGTTCTGATTGTATTGTACATTCTGCCACAAACTTACACAAGTGCTTCTTAGCAGGTATTGCAAATAGTGTTGCAAGGAGGAAGTGCACCACTCTGGGATGTGGGTGATCAGGTCTACATGTGCTTGTCCTGTCTGGCAGCCTCTGAAGCTCTCCCTGCCACTCTTCTGACCTGGTCCTGGTAGCCTGGGCAGGCCTGTGGGACAATGCCCATAGGAGATGGGGGATAGAATGGGTAGGAGGCAGAAGATGAGGATAGGAGGTGGTGAGGGAAGAAGTAACAGCATAGCAGGTTATACACTATCTCCTTCCTGCAAGGAATCACAAACACACTCTTAACTGTCACATACCCATGCCTCCTGGTTGTCAAGTCTTGGAACACTGTAATGTTCTAGTCCTTTTCCAGTATTAGATCCTTTAAGGCCTCTTTCTGGGTCTCTGAGTTTCCTTGTGCATTTCCAGTAATGTCTCCTTGGATCTACTCTACCTTCAGTCCTTTTGCCGAAATACCCCTTTCCTGAATGGATTCCTCTTTTCTCCTAATTTTGAGCAGTAGTTAGATTGATGTTAGAGTTGCCAACATCTGCCTACATAGATAGTTTTAGTCTGGTCTCTTCACTTGCCTCTTGAATTCTTTTCCTGGATGCCCCACAGCCTTTTTTTTTTTTTTATTGTTGATCATGGGGCTTGAACTCAGGGCCTAAGCACTGTCCCTGTACTTTTTGGTTCAAGGCTAGTGCTCTACTTTGAGCCACAGCACTACTTCCAGTTTTCTAGTGGTTAATTGGCTATAAGTCTCATGGGCCAGGCGCTGGTGGCTCATACTTGTAATCCTAGCTACTCAGGAGGCTGAGATCTGAGGATCGCGGTTCAAAGTCAGACCGGGCAGGAAAGACCATGAGACTCCTATCTCCAATAAACTTACCAGAAAACCGGAAGTGGTGCTATAGCTTAAGTGGTAGAGCATTCGCCTTGAGCTGAAGAGCTGAGGGACAGGGCCCAGGCCCAGAGTTCAAGGCCCACAACCAAAAAAAAAAAAGTCTCATGGGATTTCCTGCCTGGGCTCACTTCAAACTGCAATCCTCCCATCTCAGCCTTCTCAGTGGCTGGGATTATAGGCATGAGTCACCAGCCTGGCCCCACAACCCGCTTGATCAATGTTTATCCTTCTTTCTATAGTAAAGCAGTGCTCAGTGTCCATGGCACACCACACGCATACTACGTGACACCTTCTTCTCCCTCTGCTCTCACCAGAAGAGTTGTGTGTTTGTTCCCAATCCTAGGTGTGTGTCTGATGCACATGTTGCTATAGTTAAGTAAATATTAGATCAAATGATCATATGCAAGCATTAAAACAAAAACTATTGTTAAATAAGGACTTAGCTTTCAGAAATTCTGTTCTTTGGTTGAAGCAGCCCTATGAGAACAGGAGGTATTCTGTATTTAGGTGGCTTTATAAATGCCTTATAGGCAATGAAATGAGCATGTTTTATATATTTAAAAAAGTAGGTAGCAATCTAATTTGAAGAAAGTTTGGTAGTGTTCACCTACAATCCTCTTGCTAAGGTGGGAGGGTTGTTTCAAGCTGATCTTGAATTCATAGCAATACCCTGTTTCAAAAAAAGTAGAAGAGGGCTGGAAAGGTGACTCAGTGGTAGAGTGCTTGCCTTGCATGCATGAGGCCCTGGGTTCGATTCCTCAGCACCACATAAGCAAAAAGAAAAAAGCTGGAAGTCTTGAGCTTAAGAGCTGAGGGACAGCACCCAGGCCCAGAGTTGAGGCCTCATTACCGGACCACCCCAAAAAAAAGAAAAGAAAAGAGGAAGAGAGGGGAAGGGGGGAAGAGAGAAGGAAGGAGAGAGGGAGAAATCTAATTCACAAATTCTTTACACACACTTTTTTTTTTTTGGTCAGTCGTGGGGCTTGAACTCTGGGCTTGGGTACTGTTCCTGCGCTCTTCAGCTCAAGGCACGCTCTCTACTGCTTGAGCCACAGCCCTACTTCTGGTTTTCTAGTGGTTTATTTTTTTGTTTTTTTGTTTTGTTTTTTTTGGGGGGGGTTCCGGTCATGGGGCCTGAACTCTGGGCCTGGGCGCTGTCCCTCAGCTCTTCAGCTCAAGGCTAGCGCTCTACCACTTGAGCCACAGCACCACTTCCGGCTTTTTTCTTTTTGCTTATGTGGTGCTGAGGAATCGAACCCAGGGCTTCTGGCATGCAAGGCATGCGCTCTACCACTGAGCCACCTTCCCAGCCCTCTAGTGGTTTTGGTCCGGTTGTGGGGTCTGAACTCTGGGCCTGGGCTCTGTCCCTCAGCTCTTCAGCTCAAGGCTAGCGCTCTACCACTTGAGCCACAGCACCACTTCCGGATTTTTTTTTCTTTTTTGCTTATGTGGTGCTGAGGAATCGAACCCAGGGACTCAGGCATGCAAGGCAAGCGCTCTACCACTGAGCCACCTTCCCAGCCCCAAAATTCTTTTTTTTTTTTTTTGGCTGGACGTGGGACCTAGGCGCTGTCCCTCAGCTCTTCAGCTCATGGCTAGCGCTCTACCACTTGAGCCATAGCACCACTTCCAGCTTTTTCTGCTTATGTGGTGCTGAGGAATCGAACCCAGGACCTCATGCATGCAAGGCAAGCACTCTGCCACTGAGCCACCTTCCCAGCCCCCTCTAGTGGTTTATTGGAGATAAGAGTCTAACAAACTTTCCTGCCTGCGCTGGCTTTGAACTGTGATCCTCAGATCTCAGCCTCCTGAGTAGCTAGGATTACAGGTGTGAGCCACCGGTGCCCGGCTACACACACTTTTTTTTAAAGCCTTGTTTTTTTTTTTTTTTTCAGAACTGGCAAATGAAAATATAATTATATAAATTAAAGCTCACAGGGTTTAGGTATGTATGTACCTCATTTGCATAATTTCCTTCTTTACTTGGCTTCCAGAATAACTAACCAACTACTATACAAGCCCAGCAGATGAGGGGGTTTATGCAATAACATTTGAGAGATCTTATCCTGATATAGGCTTTTAGACTCCAGGCCCAAAGTCTAGGAATTCATAAAGAAACATGGTAAAGGGAAGAGAAAAGAGATTCATTCCATGGCAGCCATGGGAAGACAGCACTTCAGTAGATCTTCAGCTGTCTTCTGGAGTACAGACATTTGCTTCAGGTTAAATAAGAGAATGTGAGCAGGAGGGAAGAACAGTATGCCTAGTTAACAGTCCCAAATCACTAGTGTGGCCAGATTGATCATTATGTTAGTCTTTGTCTCTAGAGGAGTTCT